TATCTTTTTAATTGCTTTTGGTGCAGCTATTATGGCTATAGGTGCATGAACTTATTAGTGTGTTCGATTATTCGAATTGTTTCCAAAACCGTTTTTCGAGATATTCGAAATAGGTATTTACTTGCAAAAAAAATAGTTTCTTTATTTTTAAATTCGGAAAAAACCGGTTAGAACAGATATTTGCTTTTAAATTTTTCGCGTTCGGATAACGCTTACAGTTAGTCAGAAATGTAGGAAATGCAATAAAACTATCAAAATCATGTATGGCTTTCATTTAAAAGATAAAGTCAAATGGAATAAGGACGCCGAAATTTCGTCCGTATATTTGCAGTAACAGAGTAAGTAAACATACAAGAAATTAGCAAATTCGATTTTCGTTAACGCGTACATACTTCCCATACAAACCAAGCCTCAAAAACGCTTAAAACTCCGATCTTCAAATGGCTGTAATGGGTTTATTTTTACGCACACCCCCTCCGTACAAGCCTAACCTCAAAAAGCTTTGAAAAGCATAGACAGTTATACAAAAATTGGAAAACTTAAACTCTATGTATATAAAAAATGCTGCCTCACGGTGGGTAAAACTCCTTATACTTCAGGCTAAAAACCAGAAAAATTTAATTACTAGGCAAAATGCGCCAATTGCTAAATTCGGTGTTGCTCTCTGAAACAGATAATAAAAGATGAATTAAAAAATATTAACTTACCCTTGTATACTTTACCACGTCATTTAAAACTTAATCATCTTCATTATTTATGATTTCTAATGCTTGTAACAATTTCGAAGAAAAATAGATTTTTTAGCTAAATGAGGCTTTAGAAAAATAATTTCAGCTGGAATATATTACATTATTAGTGTAGAAATAATTAGTTAAAAGTAATTATAAGATATCTTATATTAATTGGATTGAAATGGACTACTGTGCCTGTTATACTGTTAACCATAATAAAGACACCAAGTCGTTATTTTTTAATGCACCTAAAACGAATTAGATTAGAACTTTTATCTACAGGGATGTTGACCTGCATTTTATCGTTATAAAATGCTTATGCAGTTAAGCATGGTCTAACGATAAGATGCGCACCGAATAAAACCACCAAAATATTTTGAAGATTTCACAGTAGACAACTTGAAATCAGCGACATAAGTATGCAGTGTTCTGGTGCGTTCGGCAGAGTTCTTCTTGTTAGCGTTGCATTCGTTGCGATATTCGTCGCAGGTTTTATTCAGCCAGCAAATAGTTCGAATATATTAGGGGTCTTTCTCAGTGCCAGCCCTTCTCACCTGATCATTCACATGTCTGTTGTGAAAGCGCTGGCCGAAAAAGGACACAACGTTACAGTGGTTACTTTACTCAAACCGAAAATATATCACGAAAACATAACAAACATCCTAATTCCACCGACGGAGAACAACCAAGCAAAATATGAATCCTGGGTGGCCGAACTTTCAAATGGCAAATCGAATATTTTACATGGCTTAGTAGTGTTGTTAACAACGAATCGAGTGAAAATCGATATGCAATTTGAAGCTTATGTAGACAAACGATTTACCGCACTCTATGAAAATAGCGACAACCAGTTCGATGTGGCCATATTGGGGTATGCCCTCAACTACTACCAGCTGGCGATTGGGGCGAAATTCAATTGTCCCATCATAGTGAGTTGGGTGCAACAGCCTATGGAAGGCGTAAATGCTTTGGTAGGAAATCCCCGAGAGATTTCATATGTAACCACGTTGATGAACGCCAAGGCAACCGGAGAGGCGTGGAATTTTGCCAAACGTTTGGAAAATTATCTTTTTGGTACCATCTTAAAAGGAGTAACGCTTATTATTGATCATTTGATGAGTGGATATTATAGGTGAATAAAAAGATTTGGATTTGAAAAAAAAAAAAAAAATTAAAGCCCGAATATAATTTTTGTTTTCCGATCTACTACAGTAAACTCACGGCAGTGGACCCAAATTTGCCAACATTCGAAGCTATGAAAAGAAATGTTTCGCTTGTGTTTTGCAACAGCCATTACAGTGAAGGACCTATAAGACCACTCACACCAGCAACCGTGCTGATAGGAGGCATACAGATCAAAGAAAAACCAGATCCACTTCCAAAGGTGAAAAATTAAGCTAAAAGACTTGCAAAATATTGAAGACTGGAGAGCATGTCTTATATTAACTGTACAGCCAGAGACTGCAGGGTTTTTTTTTAGTTTAAAAATATACGCCAAACGTATTTCGAATACACCAAAACTAATTCTCGTTTTTTTTTTTAATTTTACATTCCAGAACATTGCAGACTTTCTTGCTGCTTCGCAACAGAATGGCGCCATTCTCTTCAGTTTGGGCTCCAACATTAAAGACTCACATATTAAACCCGAAATATTGCAAATCATTTATAAGGTACTTTCTTCGCTCAAACAAAATGTGATTTGGAAATGGGAGAATTTAGCGAATACACCGGGCAATGCCTCGAATATACTCTACCAAAACTGGCTGCCACAAGACGACATCCTCGCTCAACCTAACTTAAGGCTATTCATCACACACGCCGGAGCAGGTGGCATTGCGGAGTCTACCTTTCATGGTGTACCGATGGTTGCGATTCCAATATTTGCAGACCAACCAGCAAATTCGCTTAAAATTGTGTTGGAAGGGTTTGGTGTGGAAGTGGATTTTAACCAACTGACTGAGAGAGCATTTCGAAATGCGATCTCTGAGGTGCTCACAAATCCCAGCTACGCAAATAAAGTGAAAGCGTTCTCTAGGCTATATGGCGACCGTCCGATGAGCGCCAGGCGAAGTGTAGTCTATTGGACGGAATATGTGATACGACATCGTGGTGCTGCGCATATGCAGAGTCCTTTGGTGAAAATGAACTACATTCAAAGCGTCAATTTAGATGTGTATTTGCTCATTTTGGGTACACTTTTCGTTGTTTTCAAATTGCTCCAATTAGCGTGGAGATATTTGTGGAGTAAGGTATTTGATGAGAAGATAGCAAAAAAGCCGAAAGGGAAGAGAAACTAAAATTAGTTTGTCACCGCCAATATTATGCAGCTCGAAATAATTTTCGGATACTGTAAATTTCAAAAACCAAATATGTATTTTAAAGCAATGTTTTTTGAGCTTTATGCCACGATTTGTTTGTTAGGATAAATGGAAAAAACAACAAAGTTTAAGCGATAGAAGTTATAGCTGCTATTTCGAAGATCACCACATCTCCCCATCATACTTATTTTTACAGATTTCAGCAGGAATAGAACCCGCTTCATCGATGTGCCAAGCCAGCAACGCTAACCACTGATCTACAGCCCGTAAACTTTTGTCGCTAATCCATTTCCTTATTCAACCTACTAGTTATGAAGCGCATAGCTCAGTGGTTAGCGTTACTGGCATTGTACATCGATGATGCTGAAATGAATTCGCAAAAAAACACGCGAAAACTTGTTATCGTTTAGTTTTGTGCATATTTATAATGCTAAAAATAAAAAATAAAATTTGAATATTTATGTAGCTTGATCGAGTTTTTTAGCGAAAGTAATATTTTTTTTTAGGAAATTACCCAGCAGAAAAAAAGTATCTCTAGTTAAAAAAAAAAAATAACCCAATTATAGTTAGCTTTTTTGCGGGATTTCTATAAAAATGTATATGATTTGTCGTTAGCTACAAAAAGCTAATTTAAAACTAGTTGACAAGTAATGCAGGAGTAATGCAAGAGATTGTTTTCTTTAAACGCGTTTCTATTTATATATCCTGCACTTCGCAAATACATTTTAGAATTGAGGACAAATAAAAAGAAGATCGAAATCTCATATTATCATTTTGAAGTTATATCTGACGGAGTTATAATATAGAACCACCTACAGCAGAATATGTAAACAAATATGAAATGTAATAAAATAAATCAAGTAAATAAATAACAAATAAAAATAAATATAATATTCTGCTTTTTTATTGATATTTTATGTCCAAAAATAGTCGTTAGCTTATAGTTAGATACATTTCCTACAGGGTAGGTTAAACTTATGCCTAGTTGTATATAAATTAATAAATAGCTTCTAAACAACTAATACGGTTGGAAAATGTTTTTGGCATAGGTGAGGGCAAACTTAATATACATATATACGAAGATATACAATTGGATAAGTGTGATGTATGTATATTTACTAGGGTGGTCCTTAAATTAAGGAAGCAAATTTTTTCATCAGATTTCCTAAGCCTCAACCCCTACGTCGTTGCTACTATACTTGAAGATATCACATATAAATTTTGGTCCCGATTGGTGGCGGTTGAGGCGTATCGCACAGGGGGTGAAGTTCAGATATATGTATGTAATATCTGTGACAGTGGTTTGAGGGGGTGAGACCTAAAATTCAATTCAATTCAATTGATTTGAGGGACCACCCTAATGTACATACACACACACACACATCGTTCTATATATTTACCTTCCGTATTTTATTGTAATTTGTTGCAAAAAGCACAGTACCTTCTCCTTCTGATTAAAATAAGTTACTAAATAGTTTTTTGTGTTTTGTGATAATACATCTTTTAAGAACATGGCAATAAAATATATGTATATTGTATTGTATATGTATCGTCGGTGATACTGCAAAACGGTCTATGTCTATTAGTAACCTTGACATTTAGATGGTCTCTTACTTGCACCGGAATGCATCTGAAAAAATCATTACACCCTAATAAACGAATGACAAAACTATCTACCTTTGGCTAATGAAGATAAACAATTGCCAGAAGTGATCAGACACAGATGACAGATCAATTAAGCGCCAGAGGTAATAAGTGACATAGAACGTTTTGCAGTATCACCGACGATATGTACATATGTATGCTTATGTAGTACATATGTATATTTATTTATAGTGCCGAAATTATTCTTACTTATGAGTACGTAACACTACAAACTAACGATAAGATACGATAAGGCGAAATTTTCGAAGCTAATAAAAATATCAAATACCTTTTGTCAATTCCATCAGTACACTAACTAAAATCAGCGAAATATGGCACGTTTCGGGGTGTTCGCGGTTGTTTTTCTCGTAAATGTGACATTAATTGCCATATCGTCACTGCTTGTTCAGCCAGCGAATGGCTCGAATATTTTGGGTGTCTTCCTAAGTCCCAGCCCGTCCCACCTGGTCATTCATATGGCAGTGGTCAAGGCACTTGCCGAAAAAGGACACAACGTTACAGTCGTTACCTTATACAAACCAAAGACTTATCACGAAAATATAACAAATGTCCTAATTGCTCCTACGGATCAACTCCAAGCAAAGTTTGATGCAGCAATGGCAGAATTATCATCAAGCGTTAAATCAAATTTTATACAAAACATGGCAAGATTGTTAAACGCTAATAGAGCGGCAATTGATATGCAATTCGGGGCGTTTGTGGATAGACGATTTACCGCACTCTATGAAAGTAATGACAACAAGTTCGATGTGGCCATACTGGGCTATGTATTTAATGATTTCCAGGTGGCAGTTGGCGCTAAATTCAAATGCCCCATAATAATGACCTGGGTGCAACAATCCATGAATTTTGTGGATCATTTTGTAGGAAATCCACATGAAATTTCCTATGTTCCCACAATGATGAATCCATTGGCCACCGGAGAAGTTTGGAATTTTAAAAAACGTTTGCAAAATTTCTTTCTAACAACAACTTCAAGGATATTTTCATTTGCTTTGGATTATTCTATGAAAGGATATTATAAGTATGTTAAGCCATCCGAAATTGATTGCTTAAATCATATTCATCTATTTTTTCCAGCAAACTCGTAGAAATGGATTCGAGTTTACCACCGTTCGAAGACATGAAAAGAAACGTCTCGCTTCTGTTTTGCAACAGCTATTACAGTGAGGGACCAATAAGGCCACTGGCGCCAGCAACGGTGCTGATTGGTGGCATACAAGTCAAAGACAAGCCGGATGCACTGCCTAAAGTAAAAAATTTTAATCAAATTCTCTTATATTTTTTTTTTTTTTGAAAGCACTTAAATGAGTTTTGTGTTCTTTTGAAATTGCAGAACATTGCAGACTTCCTTGATGCTTCACACCAAAATGGCGCCATTCTCTTTAGTTTGGGCACAAACGTTAAAGAGTCGTATGTCAAAGCCGAAGCGTTTCAGATCATTTATAAGGTACTTTCTCCGCTCAAACAAAATGTGATTTGGAAGTGGGGAGATTTAGCGAATACACCGGGCAATGCCTCGAATATACTCTACCAAAAATGGCTGCCACAAGGCGATATACTCGCTCACCCTAATCTCAGATTGTTCATCACACACGCCGGTAAGGGTGGTATGGTGGAGGCGTTATATCATGGTGTACCCATGGTTACGATACCAATGTTCGCAGACCAACCTACAAACTCAAAGAAAATTGTGTCGGAAGGATATGGCGTGGAAGTGGATAAATTGGAAATCACCGAGTCAATATTACGAAATGCGATCTCTGAGGTGCTCACGAATCCCAGCTACGCAAATAAAGTGAAAACGTTCTCCCGGCTGTATCGCGATCGACCGTTGAGCGCCAAGGAAAGTGTAGTCTATTGGACGGAATATGTGATACGACATCGTGGTGCTGCGCATATTCAGAGTCCTTTGGTGAAAATGAACTACATTCAAAGCGCCAATTTAGATGTGTATTTGCTCATTTTGGGTACACTTTTCGGTGTTTTCAAATTGCTTCTATTAGTGGCGGGATATTTGTGGAAACGTTTTCGTGCAGCGAAGAGGTCAAAATCGAAGAAGGAGTAAATGCGAGTTGTGGAATTTATTTAGCTTTAAAAACTAAAATTGTGTTTGCATTGTTCAACTTTGCGTTCAACATTTGCGTTCAACTCAGCGCAGGGTTGCACGAAAAAAAAGTTGAATGGCTAAAAATATCAACATATGAAAAAATATCAAAATATTCGCCATAAAAAGGTTTTTGCATTGTTCAACTTTGCATTCAACTTTTGGTTGAATGGCCTTTCAACTAATCGCTTTCAACAAAGTTGGTCGCCAGCCAACATTTGGCCATTCAAGTTTTTTTTCGTGCAACCCTGCGTTGAGTTGAACGCAATTGTTGAACGCAAAGTTGAATAATGCAAACACTGCTTAAGTACTAGTGTATACTTGTATTTATGATAAGCAATATCTTACTTACATTGTTATTGTAATACAAATGAACAAAGTATGGAAAATTAACAAAAAAAAATTTATTAAATTAAAACACCTTATGAACTACATTACCGGTTCAAAAACTAATGATATCGAAATAAAAACAATTAATTTATCTATCAGTTGATGTTCATAATTTATAATTTTTTTTATGTTTTGCATCCAAAAATACTTGAAAACGAAAAAAAAGTTTCGTATTTTTTCATATGTATTATAAAGAAAGTACAAGTGAGTACTTTTAATTTGATGCACATCTGCTATTGAGTTTTAAGAATTTAGTGGTAGTGAAAGAAGTTCTGCGCAAATATCCTACGATATTACACATTTACCGCGTCTTGTTCCGCATCTGGCAACACCGACATTGTTGACTACAAAAAATCATCTGTTTATATTTATGATATCTATAATCGGTGATAGTTTATGTGGTTACGGTTATGACAATGGTTATGGTTTTTGGCGGTATGGTATGTCACCACTAATTTAACCTTAATGCCGTACAGTGGAGATTTTAAATTTATTTATTTTATATAAAAGCCAGCGAAATTCCTTATCAATCGGTGGGAGCCGATTTTTGATAAATATTAATTTCAGGCAGTATAAAGTAGTTGTAAATTATTTTTATTTTGTTATAAACAGTTATTATAACATCCTCTGGGGACTATTAAAAGTACGCCCATTTCCTAACAGATTGGCGCTTACATATCTTTTTGGTGTTTAGCCGAGCTTCTCCTCCGATTTGTGTCGTGCGCCTTGATGTTGTCACTACACCACCGTGGCCGCCGCCCACTTCCTAAAAATTTATTAAAAACCAAGCTGTTGCTAAGAAGCTAGTTTGAATATAAATATTGGGTAAATATTCAACCCAACATCAAAAAAAAAAGTTTTCTTCTAATAGCGGTCGCCCCTCGGCAGACACTAGCAAACCTCC